TGAGTCGGCCCCGACTCACAGTGACCCCTCTTTGGGTTTCTGAGGCAGTATCACTACAGAAGTAGGATTCCCCAACCTTCCTTCTGAAGAGTGGTTGGTGGGTTTGAACTGCCAGCCTTCTGGGTGGCAGTCAAGTGCCTTAGGCACTATGCTACCAGAGCTCCTTTACACATCATTAGCAATGTGTAAAAACATTGATGAAAATACAAACATTTAGTAAAGGTGTGTATTTAAAAATATTAAATGAATCTATCTGTCCAACAATTTTATGGTAGTGTTGGCAAATACATTGATATAAATATTAAATTCCAAAGTAATACTTTATACCTCTCTGTATTAGTCAACTATTTGTTTAATTGAATTTAGGGTAATGGAATGATAATTGGTATTTATTCAAAGGTTTGTGTAATGAAAACAGTAAGGTTTATCATAAGTAATAGAAACAGTTTCCTTTATATGGGTTGGGTGTGTGTAGGTCAAAACCAAATATAAACAAAGGCGTCTTTGGTTAGTAAATGACTTGAACACACAGGCATTAATCAATTTGTAATGGGTATTTTGAAAGATTTTGGGGCTGATTTAGATGTGGGAGAGAGGTTTTCCTAAGTGTTGCTTAGAGCGCAAGCTTATGAAATTTTCTCTTTCTTCGGACAAATGATTTCATTTCTCTCTCCTTAGTAAAACAGAGGCAATTGTTTATTGATAGTTTGATCAACCGTCCCATTTTATGTGAAAGTGAAGAGTTTCCTGGGTGAAAACTAGGATGAGTTGGCCACCCTCACCCTGATCGATACAGTGAGAGTTTATAAGAGACATTAAGAAGGTTTCAGATCCTTGGATAAATAGTTAACTATATGTTGCGATTTACTATTACCAAACAATACATAAACTTATGGTAAATGGAAAGTTAGTGATTATTTTCTGAGACTGGTATGTAACTTTCCCTTCACCTTGCCATATTTCTTTGAATATTCTTTGAAATATTTTGCTAGCAATGAGCAGAATTCATCTGGAGAAAAATAACATTTAAGGCACATTTTCTAGATTCTAAGAAAGAGATAATAATGCCCCAAATAGGTGATTAGTAAATTTTCAGGTGTGCTTGCAGACTATAATATCCTCCTCTTAATGTAAAGAAATTCTCTTACTACAATGAAATTTAAAAAGAGAACAAATACATTTTAATATGAACTTGCTCTTGCCTAAAATAGCATCAGAAGTCACTACAGACAAATATTGCACATGAAAACTCATTGAAGATGTCTGTGTGTGGTTATTTTTGATGATCTTGGAAATAATAGACATTTATCATTTATACCAGAGGACTAATGTATTGCATTTTATATCATGTGGCTCTCCTGAATTCTCTCTCTCTCTCTCTCTTTTTAATGACTTTTTATTGTAGTTTGGTTGAAAGTTTACAGAGCAAATTAGTTTTTTTTTTTTTT